TAAATCAGTTAAAAGACGAAAAATTAGGTGTCTATTTACTTGTGACCACTCAGTGTAGATTCACATCAACTCTTTCAGGTCACCTCTCACTAAACCTAACTCCTTACTCTCTCTCTATCTGAGTAGATCTTGCAGGCTGGTGTGTGGACTACCCTGCATTCTTTCCTCACCATTCTGAATACACCTTACTGGCTCTGACTGGGTGTGCTTCTTTTCAATCATACCTTTACAGGGGCCCTATTCTACATCTATGGATCCCACTGAGTGGCATGCATTGCCTGCCAGGGTATACCTAATCTTAAATCCATACCATCAGCCATATGGGGATTTAAAATGCTCAATGCTGAGATGGAGCTTTCCACAAGACCACTAGAGGTTTTCTTGCGGAATATTGTTTACTAATAAAAGACCTAGTTCAGACTATATTTACCCATGGACTATCACGAGTAAAGCATTGTCAGGATGGCTGGTAAGTATCTATTGGAAATACATTTTCATATTTGGAAAATGTTAACTTTCAGCACATTCTATATATTTTGTAATCAGTTGACAGCAGTAGTATGCTTTGAATGTCCTGATTATGCCAGCATCCATAGGCTGCATCATTGACATGGTGTTTGATGGGAAGCTACATTATATAGTTCTTAATCTGGTACAGCATGACTAGCAGTATCATCTACAAGAAAAATTATTTTTCTCTTCTTTGAGTGTAGCCTTTTGTCCATATCCTCCAGTGCTGACATTTCCAGGTTTTCTTGTTCCATCTTTATCTTGCATGGACAGTAAGGATTGAAATCACTTCCAAACCATCCTGGTTGCTCAGATTCTGCAATCACAAATGGCTGCAATTTGTTATTACCATTTGCATTAGCACACAAGGCAGCCGTTATGAGATCTTTAGATTTTTTTCATACCTTGAACTCACTGACTTGCCAAAGAATGACTAGTTTCAAACCTGTAGAATAATCCAGTATTACCTAGATTTTAGATGTCTGCCAATTTATATCCTGCCAGAACATTTCTTAGATTTCTATGCTGCAATTGCATTTTGATCAGCACTTGCTACTTCACCTTCCAACTTTGTCTTATTTATTTCAAAAGATTCTTTGTGATTTTGCATACAATTCTGGTAGTATCCACACAATGTTGCATCAAGCTCTTGTCAAAGTTGTTTACCTTTCTAAATAAGCATTTTGTCATTAACACATACATTTCTTGATGTAACATCCCATATTCAAAGATACATAACTTGTTTGCATGCTTTGAATGTCGTGCCCTTTTTTGTTGACTTGAATCTCTTATGGAATTTGTATCCATTTTTCTTTGCTACAAAGACTGTCAGATATTGTTGACTTGTCTGTAAGAACATCTGTTTATACTGAAATGCCAACAGATGGTATGAAGGCTAGCACTTGGATTTAGTTTCTTGTATAAATGAACATCACATTTTAATGATGCTGATACTACATTTATGGAGCACTGTGACTTGATATGACTGTAGTGTAAATCATTCTGGTGTCCTCTTGACATTTATTATATATAGTTCATATGTACATTGAAGGTTGTTCACAGAAGAGCTGTTGTACGCTGGTATCCAATGTGAGTGAATGTTGTTCTTGGAATCATTGTCATAAACTGAAACCCTCTAGTTAGTGTAAGTGTTTTTTGGTCAGTAATTATCACCTCGTTTCCTGTTGTGATTGAGCCATATTTGACTTTAGTGGAGTCACGTAAGGATCACCAAATCCAGTACCCATAGAAAGTGCATGTTTGTTATAAGAAAAAAGCTCCTTGGATTCAGAATGCTAATGTAAAGATTATTGATTAAATTTCCCTTTGAGAAACTCTGTCTACATGAAGAACCATCTGGATCGTGAATGATCTGGATTGTTGATGTCCAAACTAATGAGGTTCACTATATTCTGAAGTTAAATAAAAGCAACAAGCTGTTATCTTGTCATGCAACAGGTTTGTATTAGTAATTAGGATAACTTTAATGTATTTTTAGTGTATACATATTCTGCATGTATGTACAAACGTATGTAAGAGATGTTGGTGAATGAAGGTAAAGTAAATCATGTAGATGGTTTTCTGTATAAGACTCACCATCAAGGTTTTATCTTTTTTAGAATTGTCTGTGGGAGGGTACAGGGAAGGATTTGATGACTGATGTGGCATGGAGAAATTGAGTGCAAACAGTGCAGTATGTGTGTAAACATATTTTAATTGTATCCTCCAGGATTTGTTTTTTTACAATTGTGTCTAAGTGGTATGGTTTTAAGGGTACCTAGCTTTTTCCACCAAATGTTATTATCCATTAAATATCACAATCAATTAGAAGAGTTGAACATCATATTTGAAAGGATATAGTAATAGTGAATATATATATATATATTGCTGTTTGAGAGGTTGTGTATAAAGTTATACACTGAACGGACATGAAAATGTCAACATCTCACTTTAAGGAGAACACTAAAGTTTATGTGTTAATAAATTCAAAAAGATAAAGTATATGAGACTCGGTGGTTAAGTGAAGCAAAGTTTATTACAAAGTTCTTAATTTATTGAAAGTTTTTGATATAGTTTTGTTCCTGTTTATCTAGGTTGTTTGATGTTTTTGGGGATTGCTGCTTATTTCCTCACACGGCCATCTAACCAAATCCACTGGCAGGAGAAACTAGTTTTTACATCCTTTTTTGCTGGAGCCATATTGTGTTTGGGAATGTCCTTTGCCTTCCACACTGTTCATTGTCACTCTGAAAAAGTTGGAAAACTATTTAGCAAGTGAGGTGGTCCAGTCAGTTGTTATCTAACATGATATATTGAATAATATGTAGGTTTAGGGTTATGTGGCCATAGAGGTCACTTTTTTATTTACGAATAATCTTAAACCCAGGTCTTTTTTTTTGTTTGTTTGTTTTTAGTAAGAAACAATTATCACTGCCATGATATACTTAAAGGACACATTAATTGAATCTTTTGCTTTATGTCATAGTAGTAGTTAAAAAATTTGAAATACTTTTTATTTAGTACAACTGTGTAGACATTTTGTCATAGTAAGATGCACATTTTTTTGACATTGTATCTCAGGACGAAAAACTATCTCCTCAAGAAGGTGTAAGGAATAATGATTGATAAAAAAGAATTGTATATTCTGGTTATGGTTCTATAGTAAATCTGAAACTTGATTTAATAAACCATTACCACAAGAATTTAAAGAGTGAAAAATAACTGTGTAAAGTTAAAATAGCTTCGAGCTAAAAAAACAATTGTGCACCAATAATAATAGGGCTTGCATTAATTTTATCTTAGTATTCAAGCCTTTACTTTCAATTCCATCAATTGTCTGCCTTACCCAGTATAGTCATTTTAGTACTTTGAAGGTAAGGCCCAGTGTTTGTAAATCTCACTCACTCAAACTAAGAATATTTTAAGATATTGCTGGTAGGAGTGAACTTAGCATCATCGATCCTATATAGCTTTTAATTGTTACTCCAGTTTCATTACTTATTTTATAGATATAATAAGTTCATAAGTTCCTTGCTCTCCCAAATTACTTTAGTATTTTGTGTAATTTGCAGATATTTTTAAAATGTTTGCATTCCAGTAAGACTTTTGATTACGTACATGGAACTCTAAAGGTTTAAAAAAAAAAGACGTAAAATGTTTGAGTCATAAAGAGAGAAAAAATATTAAATTTATCACTTCAGTGGTCAGATGATATTTCTATCATAAAGTTACAGTATACTGCAAAACATTTATATAAGTGTCAAAGGTTACATATTTGATGGCATGATATTGAAAATATAATTGTGAGCTCAAATGTTTGTCAATACTGCATAAAAAACCTTTTTTACATATGACCAAATGTGCCATGATCATGACCAACTCAAAAGTTGACAGTGTGCGATATTTAGTAACTGTCTTTCCTCTATTCTAAGGGTTCTTAGTCTGTGGGTTGCAAGTGCATGAATTTCAAGCAGAAATAATTTTTATTGCCAAAATAATAGTTTTGTTCATATTGCCTTATAATATATGCTTTATCAATTCTAACAAGTCTGTAGTAACACAAGTGGGGTCCTGTAGTAACGTTTGTTTTTAGAAGGGGTCGCAGTACAACGAAGAAAAAGTATGAGAACTGCTGCTCTAATCTGTCGATTCAAAATGAGGGGTAGCTTTGCACAACTGCATGTAGCCTTTATGTTGCTTTGCTCAAACAACTTATCTGAGTCACCCAACAACTATCGGACCACTTATACTTTTTAGGAGAGCTACATGTAATTCTGAAGAATTCTTAAGATTTAGTAGCCAGCTCATAGTGTTAGAACTTTTAATTAGATATAGATTAAAAAACAAAAATGCTTATTATAGATTGTATGTTAGATATTTTGTTTTCTCTCTTATGATTAAAACGTAATACATGGTTTTATTGTGAAAGAAATTACACTGTACATGTTTTTTTGGTATAATGAAGTGAGCTAAGTTTATAATAATTATCAAATTTGGGGAATAATCACTAATTAACAGTTTCTGTACATGTGAACATTAAAGTATATTATAAATATTTGAAATAATATTTCCTTCCAGACTAGACTACTGTGGGATTGCTCTGTTGATCATTGGATCATTTGTCCCATGGTTGTACTATGGCTTCTATTGTAATTTTCACCCTCGCCTCATCTACTTAATCTTGGTCACAGTGCTAGGGGCAGCTGCTATTATTGTATCTTTATGGGACAAGTTTAGTGAACCCAGGTTTCGGCCTCTTCGAACTGGTAAGGATGCTATATTACTTTAACACTAACCATTATCAGACTAATTTTACCGGAAAAAATTTTTAGATTTGTTTTTCTCTTAACAAGGTCAGTTAAACAAGAAACTCTTGGCACTATTTTCATGCGAGTATCAATATAATTAAAATGCTTGAATGCACAAGCTCTTCTAAAAGGTAGAAGAGTATCTAAAAATTAATAGTTACATGTAGTAGACTGTGAGTTATGGGTGTTGCTTAGGCAACTCGGTATGGAATTTATTCTGGTACAATTTATTTGCTGAGCTACTAATATTAACTTATTAATTTGAGCTTTTGCTAACGTAATAGGGACTGGAATGCCAACTTCAAGAGGTAAGATTTTCCTATTTATCACCCCCAATGGTAGGAAATTTTCTTTCTATCATTTTCTTGTTTATTATTTGCTTCTTCTTTTTTTCTGAGAGCAGTCACCTTCTCATACTTGTCTTCAGGCAGTGAAGGGTGATATATATATATATATATATATGTGGGACATTGTGGGTCTGAGCACCCACATCTTGGTCTTTTATCTTTTTTTATATTATTTTTTCTTATTTTACTCGTATTATTTTTTCTTTACATGTGAGGCTTTGCCAGCAGTGGTTAAGACTAATAGTCAACGAATCCCTCTCATTATGTTGACCCAACTTCCACATTTACCTCCAAAAACCAGGACACATGTTATACCCCCACATTGTAGCCTGTGCCCTGATGACTTTGTTTTGTTATGAGCAGTTTGGTTAAGGCTTGTATTGTATTATATATTTTTTATTTGGTCATAAGTTTGGTCTTGCTGTTTGTAATGCAGTCCTTCATTTTTTATGTAAATATTAACTTAGTTCATTGGATAATGTTTATGTTTACATATACATATCTGTCTCAGGACAGATTTCTGTCAATTGAAAAAAACTTACATTGGTAAAATAAAAACATCTGACTTCTTAATTTCAATACCCAAAGCTACTACAAATGTATGCTTACTCTGAAACATTCAGACGAACATTTACCGATACGCAACTTCGTACAAACTCTGAAATATTGTACACCAGCATGTATATGTTAATAATGTAGTTGATTGGCAGTTTTCCAATGGTTTCACGTCATGGTGGACACGTGTTGTTGTTGAACGTGTGAGATTTTCGTAAGTATTTTCTGCACAATTCATGTGCTAATTTAGCTATGATCCATTCAAAATAATTGCCATACACAGTCATAAAAGTAATCAAAATTGATCTAGATCTATATTAACTTTATTTTGTCTCTAATAGGCCTAAACTTGTGAGTGACTTAACCTATAACAACATAACTTTGTTGGAAGTCGTAAAACTAAACAGTCTAAAGTTAACAATAACACGGATTTCATCATAAGCATGGTAAGGTTAGGTACTAAGGAGTCTTATATGGCTGCATGCTTAGTGATCCTGTAAAGTCTTAATGCCAATAATACAACCTAACTGAAAAGTCCTAGACCAGATCTAATAGTATTTTAATATATAAATCTACATCATAATTATTTCAGTAGTGTCTAAAATTATTACAAGAATTTGGTGATAATTTTTTTTCCATTTGAATTTAGAAAAAAGAATAATGGAAGCCTGAGATCTTGAGTCTCAGTTGTGTTTATTACATCTCCTGAGCCAAAGTATTGCTTCATGGATAACTTAGTTGATGTATATGATCTTTTAACAACACAGTTCTCTGAGCAATAGGCTCCACGTAATGGCTCTGACTGCATTTCAGAATGTTAAAGCTGTTCAGCTGTGGTACTCATCTCCCTATATCTCCTCCCTGAGTATTTTCAGTTAATTCAGCTTCTCTCTGCTTTCATCCCTGTACATTTCACTTCCTCATGATGAAGGCCTTCTCATACTGAACTATCTTTTTAGATCTTGGGAAAACTAAAAATCCTTCTAAACACACAAACTTTTCTATCTGCCTGAACTGGTCTTAACCCTTAACTGTGTTCTTCTTCAGGGGCAACTATTATAAACAAATTTGTAGTGTTGCTGTTGACACAAAAAGGGGGACCATCATTTGCAAACTTATTTGTTGGTTATATTAAAAATGTTTGACCACTAACTCGAAGAAACACCTAATGTATACAGCAAGTATATCGGAGATGTTGTCTGTATAGCTTCACTGTGTAGAGTAAACCTAGAAAATTTTTTATAGTGCATTATCTGATTTCTCCCTGCCCTCCTATTCACATACAAAATCTCCAGTAAAAAAAAGTTTGTTTTCTAGATACAAAACTTTATCTCAGTAAAAGCTGCATCACTACTAGTGTATATTATAAATCACCTGGCTCTCCTTCTTACCTACATTTTGATTCTTCTCATCTATACAAGATTAAATATTCCATCTGTTACCTTCAATTCTTAGTACTATGCAGAATTATGACAGTCATTGACACTAGTGTTCGCACCCTTTTAATATATAATGTATTAACACCTCATAACAATTACAACTTAACAATATTAATGCCCCTTGTGTGTCATTTGTGAATATGTAAACAATACTACCCAAGTACATGGATCTAACTTCAATTTCTACACAAGACAGCCCTTCACTTATACATACTATTTTCCATTGTATAATATGCAAACATTGTGGACAACTATATATTGGACAAACAAATCATCACCTCAGGAACAGAATACTTAAACATCTTAGTGACATAAGAAGACAAAACAAAGACCATCTTTATGAACCATCCTCTACTTCAATAGTCCAGAACACATCAATAGTGAAACTCAATTAGACACCTTCAGATATCATTAGGTGAGAACACCTCGAAAAACAACTAATTGATAAATTAGATGCTCTTCACAGAAATGGCTTCAATAAGTGCTTCTCTTTCCTATAATTGTACTCGCACACACATTACTATACTGACCATTATTTGATAAATTAGATGCTCTTCACAGAAATGGCTTCAATAAGTGCTTCTCTTTCCTATAATTGTACTCACACACACATTACTATACTGACCATTATTTATAAGTTTAAAATTACCATTTACTTAGTTTTTAGAATATTAAAATTGATATTCTTTACTTGGACATTTGTTGGTATTAAAACTAATTGATAAAATAAGTTGGGTTGTGCATAGTAATTATTGTTTTTACAAGAGTGTTTATCTTTACATAGTTGTACGTGTTTTGATGTATGTCAGATCATTCATATACATTATTCTCCTGTCTTCAGAAACAATCCAATTAACATATTCCTTATCTATATAATATAATTTTTAGTGGTGCAAAAAAATTGAGTATATACAATCAAAAGACACATGTAAGTAAGTATATTGACTTTTGTTATTTTGATAACTTAAGCCACTTTTTTTTTTTTTTAACCAGGTCTACAGTCTCTATTAACATTTTTTCTTTCATTTTAAAATTTCTCAAACAATGTAAAAGTTTTTGTATCCTGTAAACTAATATCATGACCTGCATTATCTATTTGCATTTATTTTATTTTAGCTTAATTTAACTGATATTTCTCATTCATTATTAAATCACACAACTTTTAAGTAATGCAGCATTGTTAGGATGGGTATTGACAATATGAATATCAGATTGTGACTGTAGTTGTGTATGATAACAAATTTATGACTAAAGTTGAATTTCAAAGCAAGTGGTTTGACTTGGATTATAACTGCAGTTGGATATGAAAGCATGTAGTCTGGTTTTCAGATTGTGAATGCTTTTAAATTCTAGTGTAGTCACAATCTATATGTCAGACCACTTACTTTCACATCCAACTTTGATCCCAAACTGAATATCAGACCACTTGCTGTTGGATCCAAGTGTGTTCATGCTCCAAATGAAACCACTTGCTTATAAAGCCAAATATAGTCACAGTCTGAATATCAGACCAATTGTTTTTGCACCCAATTGCAATCATAGTTTAAATATTAGATTGTTAGTACAGTTGGATGCAAACGCAAGCATTCTAATATTCAGATTGTAACTGCAATTGGCAACAAAAGCAAGTCATCTGATACTTGAATTATGACATTATGACTACAGATAGATTTGTAAGCAAGTGATATGAAAACAGTTAGATGTGAATGCAAATATTCTGATCTTAAAGTTGTGACTACATTTGAATGTGAAAATAGACATATTTTTCTGGAGTCCAATTTGAGTATCGCAATAAAATAAATTGGAAAACATTACTTTTTAAATTATGGAAATCTTAATGGTACATTAGGTATTTCAATCCTTTGGCTTAACCATATTTCTGTTACAGTTTTAATACATTACTATTGTGCATAAAGCTTAAATATTATAACAGTAAAGCAGATCATACTTATGGTTGTGTTTCTTTTGAAATTATTCAATATTTGATATAAAAAAAATCGAATTCTGAGCTCCCCTATCCCTATATTCAATATATAACAGTGCTTTTGTTTTAACCCTTTGACTGCAGCTGCTTTAAATGAACACAGAATTTTTGTGAGTTGTACACTGTGTACAGCACACTCACATTCAACTGGTGGAGACGTACTGTACCCTATATGGCAAATGATCAGTCAATAGGTTAAAAATCCTGGCTGAAATAAATTGTTTCCTGGTCCAACTACATATATGATTAAACTAGTTGCTATCTGTAAAACAGGAAGCTTTATGTTAAAATCAAGTCACTTCGTTAAAAAAATCTTTTTTTTTTTAATTCTGTAAGATTTATCCTAAATAGGAAGTTTTTTATGAACTGGTGATTAGGTGGCTCAGCTAACAATCTTTGGGTTGCAGGATCAAAACCTGTTACTGAACATACTTGCCCTTTCAGCAGTGGGGGCATTATAATATGACAGTCAACCCCATTATTCATATTAATGAGTAGCCCAAGAGTTGGTGATGGGTGGTGTTGATTAGCTGCCTTCCCTCAAGTCTAGCATTTCCAAATTATTGACAACTAATGCTGATAACTCTCAAGTAGTTTTGTAAAATATTCAACAAACAAACAAACAGGAATTTTTTGCATAACTAATATTCATTTAAGACTTAGGCCAATGGTTCTCAAACTGTGAGAAGTGTCTGGAAAATGTTTTGTCTTTGTTGCTTTTTTTTTTTTAGCTGTATGTATATATCACAGTTTAAATGAATTGAACGGTTTTTTTGGAGGGGGACAAGATGTATTACAGATAAGAAAAGGGGGTACTACCTAAAAAGTTCGAGAAACTCTGTCTTAGGCAGAGACCTATTTAGTGAAAGCCATAATCAGCTTATTTGTTATGTTTAATATTTTACATGATGATATTTTAATAGAACATCATAAATTCATTATTAGTGCTTTCAAGTAATAAAATCTGCAGGAAGAAGAGTTTTAAATTATATCTTTTGAGTATTTTACAAATTACTGGAGATAGTTCTTTAGCATGCACTTATAACAGAGAGAAAAAACTGTTTTTTCACACTATACATGTCTACATTCAATATTTCGTAGTTATTTTTATGTACACTTGCTGATTTCTAGTTCACTAATGTCAATTAACTATATTTCTCGTATTTTAATACACATCTCTTTGATGATTAGTTTTTGCAGTATACAACTCACTCAATAGGCTGTAAGAACACAGTTAAGGTAGTTTCACATACTTTTAGATAGATTTGTAGTTTTATATTAGTTTAAAATAATTTTACTGCTGATGAAACCTACCCATCTGTTATTTAGGAGTATTCATGGGTTTTGGCTTGAGTGGGGTCATTCCAGCTTTCCATTATCTGGTAGCTGAAGGCTGGTTCCATGCTGTTTCTCATGCTTCCTTTGGGTGGTTGTGTCTCATGGGGTCCCTCTATCTGGCAGGGGCCTTTTTCTATGTGATGCGAGTGCCGGAGAGATTTTTCCCTGGGAAATGTGATTACTGGGTAAGTGTGCATAATGTACATGTTAATTTATCAGATCATTTTGTAGATCTCTGCAATACTTACATTTTATCCCACCAACGTTGCAGATACATTATCATATTTTTTTCCTTTGTTTAACATTTCTAATTGAATGCATGTACAGCATGTCTTGTTCTTGAATTTAATGTGCTTTTGTATTTTTATGAATTGTATGTGGAGACTCTAACTTGTTGTTATTAACACCTAATTAATAACATTAAGTATTAGAGATAGATGACTAACTTGGGTCATTGATATAACCAATGAAGTATGATCATCAATTAATGTAATGAAAATACTGCCATTATGATTTCTCAATATTATGTTTGATTAATTCAGTGTTGTTTAGATAATAAATTTTTGTCACAGCTCAGTAAACTAAACAACTGACCAAAATTATTGTTTCTGGTTATTACTATTTTCAGTTATTCCAACTATTCAAGTAATTGAAATATTAGCTATTACCACTTCCATTGGCAAGATTGAATGTAACAGTATGCATGTGTTATGCTTGTCCACAACTCACGAACATAAGTGTGTGTGTGGCCCATTGACCATTAGTTACATAACTAGCCACAGTGAGGCCTGTTTATGTTTACCTTGTATGTCTAAATAGCAGTGTAGCTGTACCTTAACATATTATTTACTTATTACAAACTACAACTGTAACCAGTCTTACCTACACTAAGATTTCTTTAATGAAAAAAGTTACAGCAAGATAATAATATTCCTTACCTAAAGGTACTTATCTTAATCTATTGAAAGAATGTTTCCCTATGTATTGATAGTGTAGAATGGCTTTCTGATGGTGCCACAAATTAACCAATCTTAAAGGTACTTGTTTGATTAAAAGAACATTTTTCTTACTTGTTAGTAGATTATCATGACTTTGTTGTGCTACAGATTAAATATTTCTAAAGGTATTTTACTTGAGCCAATATAAGGTTGTTTTTCCTGGTTGCTATTGATGTAAAGTAGCTTTTGGGAAGTTACTAATTAACAAATCGTAAAGATACTTTACTTGATCCAATTTAAGGATGTTTTCCCTGCTTGCTATTAATGTAAAGTAGCTTTTGGGATGTTACTAATTAACAAATCATAAAGATACTTTACTTGATCCAATATAAGGATGTTTTCCCTGCTTGCTATTGATGTAAAGTACCTTTTGGGAAGTTACTAATTAACAAATCGTAAAGATACTTTACTTGATCCAATATAAGGATGTTTTCCCTGCTTGCTATTGATGTAAAGTACCTTTTGGGAAGTTACTAATTAACAAATCGTAAAGATACTTTACTTGATCCAATATAAGGATGTTTTCCCTGCTTGCTATTAATGTAAAGTACCTTTTGGGAAGTTACTAATTAACAAATCGTAAAGATACTTTACTTGATCCAATATAAGGATGTTTTCCCTGCTTGCTATTAATGTAAAGTACCTTTTGGGAAGTTACTAATTAACAAATCTTTAAGATACTTAATTCAGTAAAAGTGTTTCTCTTCTTGTTATAGGTGTAAAGTAGCTTTGGGGAGCTACAGATTATTAAAGATACTTTATTTGATTCAGTAAAAAAAGTGTTTCTCTGCTTGTTATTGGTGTAAGTACCTTTTTGAAACTACAAGTTATTAAAAATACTTTATTTGATTCAGTAAAAAGATGCTTTTTATTAGTGTAAAGTAGCTTTGAGGAGCCACAAGTTAATCAGCCCTAAAGGAGCTTGTTTCACTAAAAGAAACAACTTTTCTGCTTATTGCTGGTTTACTGTGGCTATGTAGTGCTACAATTGCTAATTTTGGAGGGGAAATAGAAACCCTTATTAAAAACAAAATTGTATTTACCTATTAATACAAGAAGTAAGATTTACAAGGCAGTATACATGGCTTAGAAGTGGTTGTATGAAAAAACACTTGTAGATACTTGATACTAGATACCAAAAAAATGTTTTATTACTCTTTTGTAACATAGGATTTAAGCCAATGTGAGTAACATGATGTCGGTGTTAACTCTCAACAATTATACCATAACTTTAACGTTCATGGATAGTCATTACACAAACACATTGTTTAAGCAGACTACTGTTGTTGTTTTTCTGTTTGTTTTAATCCAGATTTTATGTGTATTTGATAAACTTAGTAAAGATTAGTGCAAAAAATATTAACAAAAGTGCGAGTACTAAAAAATTGTGTTGCTACATAAATAATATTTACTTTTAGCAATAGAGAAATATCATGATGAATCTAAGTTTCAAATGGACAGCAACTGCCTGTTGTAGAAACCTACAAATGTAGAGGACGACGTTTCGAAATTCTTCCTCCTTTCTTCTTCAGGTCGACAAAAGGCGGAAGACTTTCGAAACGTCGTCCTCTACATTTGTAGGTTTCTACAACAGGCAGTTGTTTTCCATTTGAAACTTAGATTCATCATGATATTTCTCTATTGCTAAAAGTAAATATTATTTATGTAGCAACACAATTTTTTAGTACTCGCACTTTTGTTAATATT